GGGTCCTCCGGTTTCCTCCCACTGCTAAAGACCCCTACGCGCAAGCGAATTATGAAAATAAAATTGAACCATATGTTAGTCCCGAAATGACCTAGTTTGTGTCGAGTGGACGTTAAACCCTATTTCTCTCTCTCTACAAATTTTATGGCCGTGAAATGGACTTGTCCAAATATATTATAATATTAATTATGCACCTATTAGTGGAATAAAAACATTTGTATTATGTTCCGTTGAAATTTAAATATGATCAAAAAGACCGAACACGAAGGGTTTTTTGTACGTACACACCAAGTTGTAGACGTGGCCTCCTTTCTGCACCGCGAACAAGGTGCAAGGATTTTCCGGTAGCTAAATGGATAAGACGATGGCTCGCTAGCTTGGAGGTCGGTTGTTCGATCCCCACATTGGCCGAGAAAGTTCATCCAGATTTTCCGGCGTGGTTCCCCCCTTGTCAGTGATGCAGGACGGAGGGTCTGACAAGGACAGCTGTCTAGTCGTTCGGCTGGGACGAAAAGCCGAGGTCCTGTGTATACATTGGCATGCACGTAAAATATCCCATGGCAGTTGGAATTCGATATATGAGTGGGCCATAATGCCGCTGCCCAGTGCATGGCGTGTGTCCGTCTTCATTAACCCAGTTCGGAGCAGAACAGTAGGACGTTAAACCCCGCTTTGAGTTCTTGTGAAACACAGGGATTGAAGACGCGTCCTGCGCCACTGACAAGGGTAATCAACGTTCTAAAATCCCGAGATACTTGCTCTACTCCAACATCGGGTTTGAATGCTGGACTTCTTGGTTACCGAGCCAATGTCACCCACTGGGCTACCGCGTCTCCCAACATTGATATAATTTCATACTTTAATCATTTTGTATAAAGACATTTGGACGGACGACATGGTTTGTTGACTGGCAACCTACATATATTATTAGTTGTAGCTGACCTTGGGTGTGACAGAAATATAAGAAATTTACAATGAACACGTGTTACTTAGTGGAGATTATACTTATTTATTATTTAAGTAGTCATTTTCGAATAAAATAGAGAATATACAAGCTATGACAGAGTAAAGGGTGGTATATTTTCACGCGGGGGCCACGGTGGTTCAGAGAGTAGGACGTTGGCTAGCTATCCTAGAGGTCCCGTGTTCGATTCCTGCGTTGGCTGAGAAAGTTCATGAGTTTTCCTGTGTAGGTCCACCTTGTTAGTGGTGCAGGACGGGGGCTGGCAAGGGGCAACGTATAGTCTTTCGGATGGGACGCATTGGCGTGCACGTAAAAGATCCCTTGGCAGTTGGAATTCGTTACAAGAGTAGGCTGTAGTGCCGCTGTCTGGTCAACATAATCCTCATAGCACACTGTATCGTGTATGCCCGTCTTCATTAGTCAAATCAGAGCAGAACAGTAGGACGTTAAACCCCATTTTATTATCATTGTTAAAATAACTATTTATATAAGAATTCTTATCTTGTTTCAGAATAATCTTTCACCTTATTGTTAAACATGATTACTTCATGGACAATGGCAATTGGTTGTTTAGAAGGAATAAAGCACCCTATTCACATACCAAATTATAAAGTGTAGAGAGTTCTATATCTAAACCAAGGTCGTTACCCCCCCCCCCTCCCCCGTCAGACCGGGGTGGCGTCCTTACTGCGCTGCTGCGACTTACGGCGACCAGAATATGAATAAGGTCGCCGGCAAACGTGAACACGGCGCGAGAAAATGTCCCCAAAAAATATAAACTTAAAAAAAGTCGTGTTCTCACAGCTTTCCGGGTCAGATCGCGGAACCTATTGTTTTGTAAACTGTTTTTTGAATGGTTCGTAGAATTAAACTACAATCAAGGGCAGATAAATTGAATACGTGAATACCCCATGGCTAAACACAGGGTATAGAGGAGTGGAGCGGAATGAGACCACTGGAGATAGCGAGGATGTGTTGTGTGGTTCTTTTTTGTTGTTCGGTTGTTTGATGTTTTGTGTTGATGTTAATTTACGTTACACTGTAAATAATATTTGTGTATTTTTACCGTAAATTGACTGGCAGAAAGTTGCCAGTAAAATGACTGTATTTTAACACTGACATGTAAATTTACATCTAAGTGGTAGATTAAGATTTTCAAACAGCATGTAAATTTACAGAGAGTGTAAAATAACTTCGATGTAAATTTACAGTGTGCTTGTAAATAGAAAGTGAGGTAAATTTATATTCAATCTAAATTTACACGGTGGTCGTAAATATACCTCAAAGTTATCTTAAACTCACTGTAAATTTACACCGTGGTTGTAAATTTACCTCAAAGTTATTGTACACTCACTGTAAATTTACGTGGTGTTTGTAAATCTAAATCTACCATTTAGGGGTACATTTACAAGACAGTGTTAAAATACAGTGATTTTACTGGCAACTTTCTGCCAGTCATTTTACGGTAAAAATACAATTTGAAGCGTATATTTACTTGAAATATACTTTGAAAAGGTGACATTTTTAAAGGGAATGTATTTGTTCCCACTCGGCTAAGTAGTCCTAGGTTTGATCCTGGCGAACACATAAAGTTTTGCAGACCTTTCAGCCGAGCATGCAAAACCTCATTCGATAATGGAAAGAAATTAAATAAAATGGGATTTAAAGTCCTACTGTTCCGCTTCTTGCAATGGAAAGAGTGGAAAGCAAAATGTCCCACACAACTGGCAAGGGGGAACCACAACGGAAAATCTGGATGAACTTTCCCGCCCAAAGCAGGTATCGAATACTCGACCTCCAGGCTAGCGAGCCAGCTTCTTACCCCCCCCCCCCCCCATAAGTGGACTATAGACTAAAAGTAACGAAGCCTTAAAAAGGTCTATCAATGTTAAAGTTCTAAAGAGATGTCCAATTACACGTTTTCTGTAAATTGTACACAAATCCCGTTTGAATAGTAAAATTACCTTAAAAAACAGTTAAAATACAGCATACATGTACGTTAACAAACATAGTTGTATCAATACAGGTTCTTATAAAATGCAGTTCAAACGTGTAAAACTACACTTTTATGGTTAATTTACCAATTTTTTTACAGTAATCCCATGTTCCGCACAAATACAGTAAATTTATAGTATAAAAACATGCAGTGGTATTTTTACAGCGTTATGTTAAAGAAATTACATATTTTTCACTGTAGTTTTACATTTATTTTTAACAGTGTATTTTGTATGGTTGGTTGTTGTCTGTGCATGTCATGTGCTTTGTGGGGGTATTTATTTTTCGCTGTCTTGTGTGACTGTTTGTTGTTTGTGAGGTACGTGACAAGGTCACCTGTCCAACCTCATGTGTTTTCTCCGGGTCCTCCGGTTTCCTCCCATTGCTAAAGACCCCCACGCACAAGCGAATTATTGAAATAAAATTGAACCCTGTGCTAGCCCCGGAATGACCAAGTTTGTGTCGAGTGGACATCTCTCTCTCTCTCTCTCTCTCTCTCTCTCTCTCTCTCTGTTGTCTGTGTTTTTGTTGCTAGCCACCATCAAACCGATTGTGGGTGTGTGGGTGTGTCGGGGGGGGGGGGGGGTACCATAGAACCTACTTAATGCACGATTCATAGGTACTAGTGAACTATCACTCACGACCCAAATATACTAAGATAAGCTGCAAACAATGAACAATGTTATACATCATTGCAGGAAAAGTTCAACCTTGCATGTGATTACTGAGAACTTTTACCTGATAAACAAGCCAACGTGACCAGCATAATGTAACGATCCAGTCTATGAAACGGTGACATCCGCGCATTCCGAAATATGACTTTAAATCAAAAAATAGTCAATCTACCTCTGAGCCGTTTGGAAATAATTGCCGGGATGAGGTAACTCTGTATATGGACTGATCAATATCGATTAAACATTGCCAGGAAACTAACAACAAAAACGCAATCTGGTTAAAACACAGATCCTATTTCGTTTCGTTTTTATAGTTCAAAATTTCGTTTTACTTGTCTTTACTACACTTGGATCTGGAAGAGTTGTTATTTAACCCGTCGAATCGAGTGTTTGACCTTTTTTGCCCGGAACTGTGGGTAATCCACTAATAACATCAATGCTGATTGGTTAATCAAATGTCTGACGTCATAGGTCAAAAGTCGGTCTTTTGACCCCTGACGTGACCTATCGCTATAACTTGTCAGATCTTCATGTAGTGTAGGCCATCGAAAGTATAAAAAAAACGAAACGAAATATAGATCTGTATTTTAATCAGATTGAACAAAAACGCAACTAAAAACACAAAATATTGATAGAAAAACAACTAAATTAACAAAAAAAACCAAAAAAAATCTACCCCCCCCCCCCAAAAAAAAAAACCCCCAACAAAACCCGAACGGTCAACGCGTGCACGTTGCATCAGAAGGTCTGTCATTCAAGTGGCGTATTTCCCATTCCTGCTTGTACGAGACAAGGGGTAGGGTCGCCTGTCCAACCCCGTGGGTTTTTTCCGTGTCATCCGATGATTTCCCCCCACTGCTAAAGAAACCTACACGCAAGCAAATTAATAAAATAAAATTATAGTTACCCCCCCCCTCTCTCTCTCTCCCCCCCGCCCTCTCTCTCTCTCTCTGTGACATATATATCATTGTTCGTCTATTGAAACGGGTGAATGACGCACTGGCCTGTTGTAACACCGAGTTTGCTGCTGCGCATCCATGAGGTATGGAACGGTTGGAACGCACCATAACAAATCTCAACGAAACAGAAAGAGTATGAGTATGAAATCCATGTTAAGAATTCGATAATGAAAAATACATAAAAATATTTTATTTTATTTATTCTGTCTATGGTCGTGTCTGGGAGCAAGTGAACTAAAATATATAATCTAAAAACTCTCAAATGTGACCACTGATAAATATTTATAGGGCGTAATTTTGTAGATCATTATGTAAACCGCCATTTTGTAGAATGGTGTTATCAGTAAACCAAGCCCATCTATATAAGACCTACCCTATTTTTTATCTGTTAAACACCGTCTTGCTGAAGTTCAGAGATGACGGGGGTACGAAGAATTCTTGGATTATGCCTGTTGGCTTGCCAGGTTATATACCTCAACACGTTTATCCTTAACGGAAATAAATATCCGTTCCAGGACACATCTCTATCCATCGAAAAGCGAGTTGATGACCTGGTGAACAGATTAAATATCCATGAACACACCCAACAGCTGGCCATCGGTCAAGGTGCTGCTCCAGACATAAAGAGATTAGGAATTGGACATTATGAATGGTGGACAAATTGTGGGCGTGGTGATGTCGGCAACGATGCGACGTCCTTCCCTGCAGGGATTGGTTTGGCTGCAGCATGGGAGTAAGTTTCTCATTTTTGAAAGCAAGGTTGCACGAAACATGCGCACGGTATAGTACAAGGTCAGATTCGCAAGTTTAATTTTAAGAAAAAGGTTTAACTATAGGGTGGGTATATTATGTTGAAATGCACTATGTGAGACATTCAAAATTATCAAATGACTGGCGCAAGCTAATGAATTGTTTTTATAATTTTTGTCCTTTTACTTTTCACCCCGGTATGACGATCCAAGATAGGTTATTTCGGAACTAACATTTAAATCATTTGGCACCCCACCATTATTTTCAAAGAGGGGTAAGGCAGCAGATGCATTTTAGAAAAACTACATGTTGGTTTGATTAAGTGGAAATTTAGGCTGATGCTTTCTTCATAATCGATTGTGTTTATGCGAACATTGGGCTTTTGGGTGACCGATTGGTTAGTGGTATATGACAAGGTCTGCTAAATTTTTCGTCATAGGTCATGAGATGTAAACAGGGCTAGCGCTAATCCAAACCCTAACCCTAACCTTGGACCTAGCAACAATGCTTACCCTAATCCTAACCTACAATCTTGCCAACAATCACGTGCCCTAACCTTGTTTACATCTCAGCGACCTTGACAAAAATTGAGCTGGCCTTAACAAATAGATTTAACCGTGGCCGATCGCGCACCTTAAATGGCAAGGTTTCTCGGTTTTCAAATTACTGTTTTTTTTTGCGGTTCAGTATCCTTGTTAAAAAGATATAACGTATTTGGTAATGAAATTACCTTCTTTGTGTCTCTCTTATTTTTCGTATTTATGGCGCAAGATTATCTGATACACTGATATTAATCCCGACCAATTAATTATTTCCCGAACACCGTATGCTATAGTACTCATCCATTTCTTAATAATGATTCTGTTTAAACGGGGGGTGTGTGTGGGGTTTTTTTTATTTTAAGACGCTGGCTCTCTAGCTTGGAGGTCGGGTGTTCGATCCCTGCATTGGCCGAGAAAGGTCAGTGATGCAAGACGGAGGGCCTGGCAAGGACAGCTGTCTAGTCATTCGGATGGGACGAACACCGAGGTCCTGTGTATACATTGGCAGGCACGTAAAATAATCCTTGGCAGGAGGAACTGGATATAAGAGTAGACCATAGTGCCGCTGTCCGGGAAAATTTTCCCTTATAGCACAGTGCATAGCGTATGCCCGTCTTCATTAGCCCAGTCATTTCTATAAAATTTGAAATATCTCTGTCCCATGATTATAGCACACTCCCCTATATTATTAAATATAACACTTTTATTTCAAACTTTCAGTGACGATTTGATGTTTAGGGTGGCACGAGCCTCTGGCATGGAAACCAGGGCTTTTAACAATTATTGGGTTAAAAAGGGAGTTTATGGAACTCATAAAGGATTGAGTTGTTTCTCTCCTAATATGGATATTTACAGAGATCCTAGATGGGGGAGAAATCCGGTAAGCATGGGCGACCATCTATTAAATCAGTTGCATCTATGGGCGACCATCTGTTAAATCAGTTGCATTTATGGGCGACCGTCTGTTAAATCAATTGCATCTATGGGCGACCATCTGTTAAATCAGTTGCATCTATGGGCGACCATCTGTTGCATCTGTGTTTCGCCTGTAGCAGTACACCCTGCCGCTCCAAAATAATATACAGTCGTCTGTCCAGTCTGTGTAAGGTTCTTGTCCAGGATTTAAGTGTTGGGGAATAACGTTCAAGGTAAAGTATATTCTGTCATGGTTTGGTACCCATCCGTTACCGCCCCCGCCAGACCTCAGTTCCCATATTAGGATATTGTGTGTTTGAATCTAGGCTGGCGTATCTGCATTTGAAAAGGGTCAATTTCGATGGTCGATTTTTACTAAAAGCTGCGTGTTTGGATACCTGCCTTTATTGTTATTTGTAAGTCTTGTAATACTACTTATATAAACAAGGATTTGGACTAGTACCATTGTATTTAAAGTAAGAAAAGTCCGGGGAGAAGTCACATAATAAATGAAGCCAGAACAGAACAGTCACATTCTTTATTACCTAACAGTAACTAGAACCATCTTGCGTTCCCTAACATATTGAAGGATTGTGTGGTGGCGTAGTGCAGTGGTTCTCGACCTTTTTTGTCAACGGCACACCTTGGAACACATGACAAAATAGCGGCACACCTGGCTAAATATATATGAAAAATATTTGAATTTTGCAAAAAAAACCATTCTAAGTTAGACGCAATACAACCGTAAACAGAGACTAGTCATAAAATGACTCAAACTAAATAAAGAAAAACACAGCTTTTCACTAGACAACAGTGAATACTCAATTGGGATCAAGTGCTTTTTCGCATTTTCTTAGTGTACCGTTCAAAATTTCATGTTGAGAATCACGGGACCTCGGTTTTTCGTCCAATCTGAACGACTAGACAGCTGTCCTTGTCAGGCCCTCTATCCTGCGCCACTGACAAGGGTAAAATAATAAGATCAACCATTACAGGTCTAACCATGCAAATATTGACGTGTACTTAAATACCCCTTGACCGGGTAGTAGTGGGTTGAAATCCTTCGTCGTCCCAACCCTCACCCTCACTAATGTACACGTTAACCAAAGAAATGAATGAATGAATAAAATGTGGGTTTGTGAGAGAGAGAGAGAGAGAGATGGGTTTAACGTCCACTCGACAAAAACTAGGTCATTTTGGGACTAACACATGGTTCAATTTTTTTTCACTAATTCGCTTGCGCGTAGGGATCTTTGGCAGATTGAGGAAACCAGAGGACCCGGGGAAAACCCACAAGGTTGGACAGGCGACCCTACTCATTGTCACGTAAAACCGAGGAATCGAAACCACGCCAGTTGACTCAATGACAGACCTTATGATACAGCGCGCACGTGCTAACCATTTCGCCATTTAACCCCCCAATCTTAACATAACTGAAGTATGATGTTGACGATACAATCAATTTCATTTTTTGATGTAGCACTATCAGATTATGGATTATGCCTTTCAGGAAACATGGGGTGAAGATCCATACTTTGGCACCGTCTACACCAATAAGTTTGTGAATGGTATCCATGGTGATGACAAGAAATACCTTCTCACAAGTGCAAGCTGTAAGCATTACGTAACATCCGGTGGCCCTGAAAATATTCCAATCAGTCGATGGCTCTTTGATGCTAAGGTAAGTAAAGTCTGACAAGATAGAATGTGGACAGATGAACTCTGGTTTTTGTAATTTTTTAAAACAATATAGTCCAATATTCTTTATGATTGCTTAACAGAATAACAATAGAGCCTAATCTGATTGAAACGCAGATCCTATTTCGTTTCGTTTTTTATAGTACAAAATTTCGTTTTACTTGTGTTTACTACACTAGGATCTGGAAGAGTTGGTATATAACCCGTGTTCTGCTTGATGTGAGGAATTAGCCAATAAAACGGCCTGTTACGGCGAGCTTTTGGCGTGACGTGAACGGAACTGGGGGTAATCCACTAGAAACATCAATGTTGATTGGTTAATCAAAAGCCCCCCGTATGACCTCTGACGCGACCTACCAAAACAACTGATTAGATCTTCATGTAGTGTAAGTCAACGAAAGTATAAAAAAACGAAACGAAATATAGATCTGTATTTTAATCATATTGAACAGAACCGATTATATTTTCTTTTTAATGGATGTGTTATTTCTTCAGGTATCTGAACGAGATCTACAGACAACATACCTACCAGGATTTAAAGCTTGTGTTGATGCCGGAAGCCCCAGTGTTCTCTGTGCCTATAATAAGTAAGAGAGAGAGAGAGAGAGAGAGAGAGAGAGAGATGGGGTTTAACGTGGTCATTTCGGGACTAACACATGGTTAAATTTTATTTCAATAATTCGCTTGCGCGTAGGGGTCTTTAGTAGTGGGAGGAAACCAATCTAATATTATCCAATCAAATTACTAAAATTCGGATTTTATCTTAGTTAAAATTTCGTGAAACAGGTCCCAGATAAGTGTTTTAATTTTTGTGAATGAATGAATGGAATGTGGTTTTATGGCACGTCAGCCCCAACCGGGATATATTGCGCCAAACATAAAATATAATTAAAAACAACTATTAAATCTTTTACACATATAAATATTTAAAACTTTTCATTTTATAAGGATTATTGTAATTTAGTCTATTTACACTGGCTTCCTATCAATCAACGCATTAATTACAAAATACTTTTAATAACTTACAAAAGTTTAAACCACCTCTCCTACCTACCTCCGGGATCTACTTTACATAAGGGGAGTTGGATGGCCGAATGGTTACCACGTGCGCGCTGTATCATAAGGCCTGTCATTGAATCAACTGGCGTGTTTTCGAATCCCCGGTTGTACGTGACAAGGAGTATAGGCACCTGTCCAATCTCGTGGGTTTTCTCCGGGTCCTCCGGTTTCCCCCCACTGCTAAAGACCCCTACGCGCAAGCGAATTATTGAAATAAATTAAACCATATGTTAGTCCCGAAATGACCTAGTCTGTGTCGAGTGGACGTTAAATCCCATTTCTCTCTCTCTCTACTTCACATAAAATCATCACAAAGGGAAACCCCTTCTTCAAACAAAATTCAGTTAGGAATTCCGAGTAAAAATTATGTGAAATGAGGAGACAGAATCTTTTCTGTTGCTGCTCATAAGCTGCGGAACATGCTACCATCACATATTAAAGGGACAATAACACTCTTGCTGGCTTGACAGCTCCAGAAAATAAAAAATAGCCTTATTCTAAGTACTAGATGTGTTAGTGTCCTATCTGTTGTGTAAATTATCCATTAAATCCTATTTTACTTGTCCAAAGGGTTCAAAAATATTTTTAAATCCAAGTCACATTTGAAAAGCTTTACGTCAGGCTTTTCAAATCATTTAGTTGAATTTTTCCAATTTTTTAAATTAGGTGTGTTAAGATGAAATTTATATCATCAATTAATTGGAATATTGTAAAATAGTACAATTTGTTGACCAGAATAAAGATTGGGACATATTATTCAGTTACAACAAGAGTGGTATTGAGCCTTTAAGGATGCAAAATCATTATGTAGATTCAAATTCTTGCTAAAAACACACCTATTCAGTGCAGATGATGGGAAAATGTCGTAAATGTGACAGACTAGCTCAGCGCCAGTGAGCAAATTTTTGTATACGAGGGCTGTACAAATCTATTATCATTATTATTATTATTATTATTTAGTAGATAGGTAGCCCCCTAAAACCAGTGAAGATAGACTAACTCCTAGTAGGGGCTACCTATCTACTTATTTCTACTCCTCCCTGAACCCCTTGTGCATCGCTGAAATCCCAGTTTAGACGTCCTCCTGTTATTCGCCTTCTACCACTATAATTATTATTATTATTATTTCCTGTAGAATCAATGGCGTACCAGCCTGTACCGATAAGCATATATTACAAGATATTCTACGTAGAGATTGGGGGTTCAAAGGTTATGTTGTCAGTGACTGTGGTGCCATGGAAGCCATGGTACATCGAACTCATTATTATAAAGATTATGAGACGGTTGCTACAGAAGGAATGAAAGCTGGTATGAACTTGAACTGTCATGGATCTACCGATAACGCCTATCTCTTTATAGGTATGTCTTTTATATTGTCCTCGCGTGTGGCCCTTCGCCCGTCGTCCCAGAAGGAGTGAAAGGGGGTATGAACCTGAGCTGTCACGGAACTAGGGATGCCGCTCATCTCTTTATCGGTTAGCATGTCCTACTAACATAGGTATTCTGATAAGTGAGAGAGAGAGAGAGAGAGAGAGAGAGAGATGGGGTATAACGTCCACTCGACACAAACTAGGTCATTTCGGGACTAACATATGGTTTAATTTTATTTCAATAATTCGCTTGCGCATAGGGGTCTTTAGCAGTGGGAGGAAACCGGAGGACCCGGAGAAACCCACGAGGTTGGACAGGCGACCCCACTCCACACGTATAACCGTGCCAATCATTGGGCCATCCTTGTTTCTGATAAGTGAGCAAGCGCACTACCCAATGAGCCACCGCGGCACCCGTATACGAGTCGAACATAGACATGGTCTAGTTGTGTTTTCGTGCTTCAAATACAAATCGCTTTATTATAATAACATCTATTTTTTATTTAGATGATGCGGTTAGTCACAACAAACTTTCTGAAGATTATGTCAAGGAGATGGCTAAACCTCTTTGGGAGACTAGAATGAGACTAGGTGAGTTCGATCCCGACCATGATGTTAAATACAGATCACTTGGAATGGACATTGTACAGAGTCAAGCTCATCGAGATCTCGCTATTGAAGCAGCCATGAAATCCTACGTTTTATTGAAGAATGACAACCATTTCTTGCCATTAAACAGCCAATTTGGAACCAAAGGCAAATTTGGAACCATTGCTGTAAGTATAACGGCTGGACCTATAGTTTTTTTTTTTGAAAGACTGACAACAATGCATTGCCAATGACCCCCATCGAATTCATTGTTAAACCCATTGCATTTATTGGCCGCGAGATAAGGGTTATGTTTAGGAAAGACAAAAAGTTTTACCCATGGGTCAGCTAATTTGACACCATCAACCTCTCACTGAACGTATATCTTTCGAAGCCGATACTACAGGTAATACATCACTTCTTTTTGTTCAGTTTTTTTTTATACTACTAGCGGGTAACCCAGTGCTGTCCGTAACTCCAGAACCGGAAGCTGTAGGCCAGCGCCACCTAGCCCATGTTACTCTCCGGTCTGAGCTTCCCTTATACACCAAATTTCAGCCTAGGGACATCCCTAGAGTAGCCACCAACACATATTAGTATAGATTTAGATCATTCAATTTAAAAAAAGGGATCTGTGTCATAGACTTAAACATACATACATAGACCTGCAATGTTATCTAAACTATTAATTAGACATTAATTAACTTATCCAGGTCATAATCAACTCTCGGTGCCATATTATGCGTCGGATTTTCACTGGATTTGAATCCGATCTGCTGCTCAACGCTCATTGATGATTACATCCAAAAATGGATAATCGAGGCTATGTTTTTTTTGTTATCGTACCGACTTTAGTAATGATGATCGAGGCTAGGCCTAAAATTCAATGGCTAATATCTCAGTTCAGAGTGGAGCATTTTGACTGCAATTTTCAGCATATTTCTTTGACTTTATCTAGTTTTTACCTATTATAGTGAGAACTGACAACTCTTTATTTTATCCTCCATAATGTCCCCTTAACATAGCTAACTCTTGTCATTGTTTAGATTGTTGGACCACAAGGTGACAACATCCATGACCAGTCTGGTGGATATTCTCCTAACGTAATGGCGAAATACGCAACATCGGTTAAAGATGGTTTAAAAGGTCTTGGTAACACAGTCCACACTGTAAACGGATGTCAGGATTCTAACCACTGTAATAAATATGATAAAACTGGTATCCTGAACGCTGTACAACATGCTAATGTAGTCTTCGTATGTCTGGGATTAGGTCCGTAAAACTACTACTACACTAATAATAATAAAGCTCGGTTCATACTACATCCGTATCCATAAACGTATCCGCATCCGTATCCGCACCCGCATCCGCGTTTTGCCGTTCAAATAGAAAACGCGAAAACGTCTGGCTTTCAAGACTGAATTGTCTGTCAGAGATTGAGTTTCTATTTGGGGAGATGATGTAATAAGGGAAAAGTACTCGCTGATTGGCTAAAGCTCGGCTCACTAGCCGAAATGCCGGACGCACTTTACAAAAATACGCTCTGGGAGCAATCAATCCGGCTTAACGGGCGCAGTTGTTTTTGTGCGCAATACGTGTCGGATTCTATTTAAACCCTTTCTCTAAAAATGACTAAAGTATACCATAACGTATTCACGCACGTATTAGAGACTTTTGGCAAGCGGATTTTTCCCATCCGTATCCCGTATCCGTATCGTATACGTGATACGTTGCGTCAATGTAGTTTAAGAGTTTTGGCAGATTTTTAGCAATTTTGGTTTCACTAATGTATCATTTCAGAAAGTTTAGCCCGTAGATCAACCAGTATGCAGACAGGCGGGAAAAATATAAAAATTCCGAGAAAAACCCATCAAAAATAATGATTAAATTCCAGTCGTTATCACTGTTAAAATCACATCAAATATACACCTTCGTGTTCTAGGATACACATAGATTCATAAAAACGCTATGATGCAACATTTCAGCGTCTAAAAGTAGCAAAAAAGACGGTAAAAAGACGACAGTGTTATACGGACCATTTCCGTATGAAAGCCGTTCCATGCGTGCTGCCGTATCCGTGTGCCGTATCACGTATGAGAAATACACAGACATTGATGACGTCACACGCAAAATCCATACGGATACGCGATACGGACCAGGGAATTGCGCTTGCCAAAAGTCTCTAATTACAGATACGAATACGGATGTAGTATGAACGGACCTTAATAGTCAATTGTATGCTCTTTACACAGTCTACACAGTTTACAAACAGGCCATTGTTCCAACACAAATAGTGGGGGTTGGATGGTCGAATGGTTAGCACATGCGTGTTGTATCATACGGTCTGTCATTGAGTCAACTGGTGGGGTTTCGATTCCCCGGTTGTACGTGACAAGGAGTAGGGTCGCCTGTCCATCCTCGTCGGTTTTCTCCGGGACCTCCGGTTGGCTCCCACTGCTAAACTGCTAAAGACCCCTACGCGCAAGCGAATTATTGAAATAAAATTGAACCATGTGTTCGTCCCGAAATGGCCTAGTTTGTGTCGAATTGACGTTAAACCACTTATCTCTCTCCCTCTCTCTCTCTCTCTCTCTCTCTCTCCAACACAGATATTTGTTAAAAAGATGTCGTGTCAATGTTGTCTCTTAATAAAATTGGCCGAGAAAACTTCAATGGATTTTCCAGTGTGATTTCCCCATGTCAGTGGTGCAGGAAAGGGGGTCTGGCAAGGGCAGCGTCTAATCGTTCGAAAAACCGAGATACCGTGTACACGTAAAGGAACCCTTGGAAGTTGGAATTCGAAATAAAAGTAGACCCCAGTACCGCTCTCCGGGCAAAATTCCCCTTATAGTACAATGCATGGTTTATGCCCATTTTCATTAGCCTAGTGTGTGTAGAAAAAAATAATGTTGCACCCTATTTCGAAAATGAAATGAAATGGGGTTTAACGTCCTACTGTTCTGCTCCGACTGGGCTAATGAAGGCGGGTTAACACCATAATGTATGCGTTTGCCGGTTCCCGTATCTAACAGTAAGCCGTTAAAACCTATTTCTTTTCCTTTATTTTAATGTCTAGCACAGCTATTTAACAAAAAAGATGTTTTCAATGCTGCCTTAAAATCAATGACTGTTGCATTTGATCGAATATGTCTTTGAAGATTATTCTCGATGGGTGCATCATCAGCCGGTAGTGAATGGTTCCCCATAGAAGAGTTTATTATATTTTGGAATTTACAGATATATCTAATAGTCTAGACATTTATTTACAGATATATCTATTGTCTAGACATTTATATAATTCATACGTCATCGTTCTAGGTAATAAATTAGAACACGAGGGAACAGACAGAAGAGATTTGAATTTACCAGGACATCAACTTGATATTCTTAAAGACTCCATCGCACACAGTAAGTTATATTTTGATCATTTTTAAAAGAAATATTGATACTTTTATCATACAAACTGTTCTTCATTCAAAAGTGATCGAACACACGCCGTGTAAATTATATACAAGAGATGTTTTGACAGGAATTGGAAGTGTTCTGACATTTTGCTATATAAAATAAAATAAATGAAATGGAATAAAATGAAATGTTGTTTAATGGCACGTCAGCTCCAACCGGGCTATATTGCGCCAAACATATGGTGAATCCAACGAGACAAATTAAAACAATATCACAGGGATGTATTCATATATGTAAATAAAAACAAATATCACAGAAAATAAAATTAAAAATATATATATCAATTCCTTTACATATATAAATATTTAAAACGCAATATATGATAAATATATACAATTAAAATCTTGAATAAAAGTTTGTCTCTTTTAAAAATGCTAGCAATTTATCATATGCTATATAAAATAAAATAAATAAAAATAATAACTTTAAATGATTATACTAAAATATAGTCGAAATAGATATATATTAAAAATTAGTCAAACTAAATAAATATATTGTTTTTGTCTTCAATAGGTCCACATAATACTAAGATAGTACTTCTTATGATGAACTCCGGACCGTTTGATATTGAACAATTTGATAAAAACGACAAAGTAGCTGCCATCATTGAGTTGTTTTATCCTGCCCAGGCTACCGGAGAAGCTTTGAGAAGGTTGATTTCTCACGAACATCCAGGAGACGTGTTCTCTGGTAAACTACCAATGACCTGGATGACAGATCTATCTAAGGTATCCACATTGTTGTGCATACTGTCTACGAACTGATTTTTGTTACTACTATTTCGTTTCGTTTCGTTTTAGGTCTTGGGTGATCGAATGCCTAATCATCCGGTCTGTCGTTGGGTTAAGTTACTACTATTGCGTTTCGTTTTAGGTCTTGGGTGATCGAATGCCTAATCATACGGTCTGTCGTTGGGTTAAGTTACTACTATTGCGTTTCGTTTTAGGTCTTGGGTGGCTGAATGCCTAATCATAAGGTCTGTCGTAGGGTTAAGTTACTACTGTTTCGTTTCGTTTTTGGGGGTTGGGTGACCGAATGGTTAACGCGTGTGCGTTGCATCATAAGGTCTGTCGTTGAGACAAGTGGCGTCGTTTCGAATTCACGCATGTACGCGACAAGTGGTAGTGTCGCCTGTCCAACCCGTGGGTTTTCTCTGACCTAGTTTTTGTCGAGTGGAATCGAAACCACGCGTTAACCATTCGGCCACCCAACGCGGCGAAAGAATACGACATTATGACATAACATTTTGTATTGAATAATATAATTTTAGTGGAAGATTGCGCATTTGTTTTCCAGGTTCCTCCTATGACCGACTTCGCCATCAAAGTTGGTTCCAACGATTTTATGCTTTTGTTTTGCTGTTTTCCAGGTTCCTCCTATGACCGACTTCTCCATGAAAGAAAGAACATACAGATACATCTCATATACACCTTTGTACCCATTCGGTTACGGTTTGTCCTACACAACATTTAAATACTCCAACCTAAAACTTCAAATCACCACCGTCCAAGCTGGAGGTCATATTAAAGGTTCATACGATATACAGAATACTGGACCACTTGATGCTGACGAGGTAAAGTAAAGCCTTACTCTCATATATTTGTAAAATATTTTCTATAGTCTTGATAAAACTGGTTTGATATATGTCATACTCGCCCCCATACACATGATAAAACTGGTTTGATATGTCAACTCGCCCCCATACACATGATAAAACTGGTTTGATATGTCATACTCGCCTCCATACACATGATAAAACTGGTTTGATATGTCATACTCGCCCCCATACACATGATAAAACTGGTTTGATATGTCATACTCGCTCCCATACACATGATAAAACTGGTTTGATATATGTCATACTCGCTCCTATACACATGATAAAACTGGTTTGATATATGTCATACTCGCTCCTATAGACATGATAAAATGGATTGATATTTGTCATACTTGCTCCCATAGACATGATACATTGGTTTTATATTTATCATAAATATTGGTCTGATAGTTGCCCTACTCGCTCCAAGTCCGAACTATCCGAGACACAGGGCATTAATCATCCTCGATATCCTCAGGGGTCTCAGTCCACTAACGGAATGAGACCACTGGGGACACCGAAGATGGGCGTTAGCCCGAGTATTGTTTCAATATTGTTCAATATAAACAGAAATGAAATTAAATGGGGTTTAACGTCCTACGGTTCGGCTCCGACTGGGCTAATGAAGACGAACATGCGCCTTACAGTGTGCTATAAGAGAAATTTTGCCCGGACAGCGGCGCTAAGGCCTACTCTTAAATCGAAATCCAACTGCCAAGGGATCCATTACGTGCACGCCAAAGTGTACACGGCACCTCGGTTTTTCGTCCCATCCGGAAGACTAGGCAGCTGTTCTTGTCAGGCCCTCCGTCCCGCACCACTGACAAGGGGAAACCACGCAGGAAAATCTCGTTGAACCCAATGTTCATTTAATTGTTGACTCGATCGATTTGTTGAATGTTAGCTATTTGTCTTTTAAGGTTTCCCAAGTTTATGTTAAGTTCGTCAATCCATCAGAACCAGCACCAAAAGTACAGTTGGCCAGTTTCCACAGAACCCATCTTCGCAAGGGAGAAAAGAAAACTGTTCATTTCATTGTCCATGGTCAGAGTATATCGCTGTGGAATGATACAAATGGTTGGATAGTTGCTCCAGGTAATATTCTATCTTATTCATAGCGGGGGTCCTCCTAAATGGATCTAACCCAATTATCTGCTGGATAGTGATGGTTGGATACCACTCGGCAAACCTCGGCAGATTCCGTTACTTTACTTGTAGCCTCGACTGTATGACGGTAAGTTAAATGTACCTACGCCTATACAATTGCGATGCGGCACCGGTTTACTTATTAGGAAAAGTTGCCGCTTTTAAAAAGAAGTTATCAAAATTGCGTCGTTCGAGTTTGTGTAGAATTTTTAGTGAAAAGTTGTCCTTGTTTGAAGAAAGTCGGATAAACTTGAAAGAAAAACAGCTTCAGACTTTGAAATATTTATATGATAAAACATTTTTCAAAGGCGTCGCCACGGGCAACGCCGTTGGTAATCCGGGAACTTGAAAGTAGTTCCAATGGCGGACTTAGTCATACAGCCGAGGCTAGATATAGGGTACTGGAATCGGCTGAGGTTTGCCGAGTGGGTTGGATACTGGCTCCTGGTGAAGCTTTGTTCCATTAATTTAACAAGTACAGAGTATAACATAGCGGTAGTCGGCCTAAATAGATCAAGGCGAGGGCGTAGATGTTCCAGTGGTTTAACGCGCGTGTGTGTGAAATCACGAGGTCTGTCATTGACTCAAGTGATGTACTGTCGATTTTCGACTTTAACGTGACAAGGAGAAGGGTCGCCTGTCCAACGTCGCGGGTATTCTCGGAGTCCTCCCCCCCCCCCGCCTTGCTAAATATTGAGATACAATTAAACCATATGTTAGTCACAAAATGACCTGGTCTGTGTCAAGTGGACGTTAAACCCCTTATCTTTCTTTCCCTAAACGGATCTAACTAACCCAACCATCTTCTGGATAATGGTATGTAGGTAGAAACATATTAGGTAGGTTAGTTGTTAATAGCATTTCGATAGGCTAGTTCCCCGGTTGTACGCCTGTGCAACCTCGAGGGTTTCCTCTGGGTCCTCCGGTTTCCTCCCACTGCTAAAGACCCCTACGCGCAAGCGAATTATTAAAATAAAATTGAACCATATGTTAGTCCCGAAATGACAAAGTTTGTGCATTCGTCGTAGAGTCAAATAAAATATAACTCAACAATGAATATCAAGTCTTTCTCACTCCCTAGCTTTCTCTTCCTCGCCCTTTCTATGGCTTTCTTTTTACCTTACTCTGCATGTGATCAAGTAGTATGTGGGTTGATCGCAAGCATTCGTCATAGTTAAGCAATCAGAAATCGAAGTAAAATATAACTCAATAATAAATACAAGAGTCTCTCTCTTTCTCTCTCTGCATGCCTTCTTTGGCATAAGATGAATTCTCGGAAATATTCTTTTGCTTGTCTGCGATATCACCTCGGTGGAAGCGGACGTAAAATACAACTAACTCATCATATTCTTTTGTTCCTCTTTCTTTAAAATTATAGATGAATATATTGTCACGATAACAATATACCTCTTTACAGGAACTGTAAATCTATATATTGGCGGTCAACAACCAAATCAACACAGACAAACCGGCTCAAACATTTTACAAACATCTGTTAAAATCAACGGTAGACATACATTTGGAAGAGGACGTGCGGCTAAATGGTACCCAACAACAAGTTAATAAAATATACACTTAAACAATGAGATTTCTTTGTTTCGTTTATTCTTTTTGTTAGAGGGGAATCTGTCCGAGAATAACCATTTGGATTGCAAATAAATAATATTTGGTGTCCCCCAATGCTCTGTACTAGGACCATATAACATATAGGAAAGAAGGGCAATTTAACTGAACTGTTATCGATATAAATCTAATACATCGTCACAGAAGACACTGGTGTGTTATACTTCGTCTGGTCAGTTTTTAAGCAAGGCCAATTGAATCTAGTAATTCTCTTAATATAAGCGTGGTATATCCAGCCTTCTGACTTACACCTACCAGAAAATGTAAACTGAAAGTACTGTCGAAACCAAACAATAATTAAAAGCCCACAAAACCAAATATGGCCAAACATTGAGCTGAAACTTGTGGATATGGCCAATAGGTCGTTACTTTATATTTTGGCTAGAAATTTGCATACTTATGTAATCCAAAGATGCGGAATCGTGGATACTTTGTAAATTCGGGGACTGGTTCTTTAACGGACATGGAAACAGGGTGGTGTTACCGAAATGAAATGAAATGAATTGTGGTTTTATGACACGTCATCTCCAACCGGGCTATATTGCGCCACTTTACGATATAAACCCGGTTGGGCAAACATGTGATGTTATGACTCAACGGTAAAATGCGATCTTACATCATTGAGATGCTTGCACTCAATCAAAATGTGTTTAACTGTCAAAGGAACAAGACAGTGGTCATAGTCGCTATCATCCCAAAAATATTCTACGAATATTACCTGGATGCGTTGTCAACATTTGAGAATGATAGGCCATTGGCTGGATTATCCGGTCTTTTACATTATCATAAACAACGCCTAAGGGAGGTAACTCGTCCTAAAACAAGATGATGACGCACATGAAATTAATTTAAAAATGCCATTTCAAATAATCCATTTAATTGCATGCCAGTTCAATATCCAACACTCTTAATTTTTTATTGTAAAATTTCTCTCTTCATATCTATGTTTTTAAAATTAATCCTAATTCGTCGTCTCGATTCATGCTTGTTTATATTAATGCAAAAATTGTGGGATTTATTTCGGAAGGGGGCGCAACTCTTACGTGACTTGGCCAAAGATACTTGATAATCAAACACATTAAAAACCAAACTTCCGGTTACGCATGGGCAATGGACTTTACGTCAAATATTGACAACGGTCCCAGACCCTCCGTACGTTAGGAAGTTCTGTGGGTGACCGAGACTACTGTGGTCACAGTCTGGTTGAGGCGCTCGCTTTAATATGAAAATGTGAGTTAAAAAAGTATGACGATGCGAGAGGGACACAAAACAACTTCATCCCTCCAAATGGTTCTATAGGAGCCTGGCCAGTCTCCTAATAAGCATATTTCCAGATCAAAATGGCAACTAAAAGCATCATAGACAAACGTTTCAAATCTAACCAGATGATAGGATTGCTACTTTGGGGCCGAAATCAACATTTGAGGTCAGTAATGAGCTTGTTGGACTCTATGTACCAAACATGCCTTCGATTGAGCAATATCTCCATGGTTTTGCAAATGCAGCTAGTTAAGGCAATAGGACGATAATTAGTAGGATCTTTACCCGGTTTAGGAATGGGAATTATTCTGGCTTCATGCCACGAGGAGGGAAATTCCCATCAACCCAAATCCAGTTATAAAGATCTAGTTGCAAGTACGGGTGATCGTGTGACAAACTCAACCATTTTTTTTATGTTTTTATCTATTACACCGGTTTCCTTTTTCCCATAAAGTGCATTCTCTTGAATAAATGAGGTCCTTTGCAATTGGCACAGTGATGTCTTATTTCGCTTTCGTTGCCATCTTGGCACATCGTGCACAAATCTCTTTACAGATACATTTTTACTGTGCCCAACGCTTTGACATTGAAACCAACATAATGGGTATGTAAGGGAAATGAAATGAAATGGAGTTTATCGTCCTACTGTTCTGCTCCTAACCTGGGCTAATGAAGACGGTATGTAAGGGGAAACTGGAATTGAGAGAAATCCAGCCTTAATGGTTTTGGGCAATTCTGGCTTGTTGAATGTCGGGGTATAGGTATTAGTTTGGATGATATTAAACGGTTGATGGAAATGCATTTAACCATAGGTACACCTTGTGAGGAGATTTCACTAAGCATCTCCTCCTGATTGCTGCGTTCTAAATCCTGAGACCTAATAACACCCCTAGAAAAAATTTAGACTATTATGGGGTGTTAATTGGTATGTTCGCTTAAAGAGTCGATTTTAATAATAACAATTGTTGCTCTTTAGCGCATTTAACCAAAAGAGTACCACGTCTCATCTTCTTAACGCTTTTAGTATACTAGATAATGTAAAGGTAATTTGCTGAAAATATCACTCAAATTAATCCACCCTGAACCAGGATTTTAGCGATCGAATTTTGGGTCTAGACTCGATCATCATTACTAAAGTCGGTATGATGAAAGACATAGTCCCGATTATCCATTTTTTGATTTAATTATCAATGAGCGTTAATCAGCAGATAGGACTATAATCCAAAAAGTATCACTGGCTAGCGATGACTTCGAGAGTTGATTATAGTCTGGATAAGTTAATTAGTGTCTAATTAATAATTTAGATAACATTACAGGCCTAAAGAAAGGCGTGCAATTGGCAGATTTAGCCCTTGCATAATGTATGTTTAAATACATTATTGTTAAATACATTATTGGTTTTCATTTCAGCTTGATAAAGACTTTATAGATCGGACCGCCCATGGTTTCTACCAGAAACTAGTTAAACCACATCTTCTTTACTGAGAAACAGTTGCAGCTTGATAACCCGAACGCCCATGGTTTCTACCAGAATCTATTTAAACCACATCTTCTTTACTGAGAAACAGTTGCGGCTTGATAAACCGGAACGCCCACGGTTTCTACCAGAAGACAGGCGGCAACACATCTTCTTCACCAAGAAACAGTTGCAGCTTGATGAAGACTTTAGAGATCGGAACGCCCATGGTTTCTACCAGAAACTAGTGAAACCACATCTTCTTCACTGAGAAACAGTTGCAGCTCCTATCTAAAGCAAAGACTTGGTACATGGATGCCACCTTCCGGGTTGTAAATAAACCTTTTGTTTGCTGTTTTGCGAACTGTTTGTTTTCAGAAGCTACAAAGATACCCCTCGACATAACCATAGTGTTAAAGGGTTTGCTCAGACGGCACCAGCGAAGCAGATTTCGACATAAAGAGAACCAACTGTTTAAAGTTTGGGGCGACCATAACCACAACGAAATTAGTACCAGCAGACTTTTTAAAAAAGCTCAGTCATTTGTATGGTCCACCTGCCCAGTGAAGAAAAATCGAGATGCCAACTACCAAGCTGTAAACACCTAACTATCAAGCCATTGGCCGATAAAGTCAGTGCGATGAAAGATAAAGTCATACAATTTCTGAAATCCGTTGATAGTGTGTGTCTCACTATAAACTTGTGGTCCAACAGAACAATGAAGGTTTTTTTTAGGCATAACAGGACACTACATTTCTGATTGGAATACATATACATGTATAGTGAAATACTTTAACTTGTTTTTTATTCGTTATGGTATCTTATAAATTTACTAATATACTTTTACATGTCTATTATATGTTATGGTTTTCTTTGCTATACCCAAATTTTTTATTTCTAAAGAATCTATTCGCTTTTTCGAATTGCATCATTGTAAAAGCGCCATAGAGCAACTGTTTCCAGCTGGATTTTGGCGCTATATAGAGAATGTCCTATGAGTCTTTTTTGATAGGAGATTATATTTATAACCCAATCCTTGCTTACATGCACAAATGAAATGAAATGGGGTTTAACGTCCTACTGTTTTGCTCCGAACTGGGCTAATGAAGACGGCTTACATGCACAAATAAATAAATATAATTCTTATAGATTTCACTTTTACTGAACTTGATTACACAACGACGTAGTGATACATCATTTTTTGACAGCAATTCAACCATTGCAAAGTCCTTTATTATATTGTGTCAGTGTTTCCATCAAGGTCAATTAAATCAAAATAGTTCATTTTTAATAAAAAAAAGAAGAAGTTACTTTTAATAAAACATGAACTGTTCCTTTAAAAAAAGAAAAAAAAAAGTAGTTCCTTTTCATCTGACCAATCAAATTCATGTAAAGCGATAACTCCTAAGGAGATATCGCAGTAGATTATGAAATTTATCACACAAGCGATATCTACTGTAGAATGTATTATTGGGTGATAAATAAGTTTAATAAATTATTATATGATTACCTGTAAACGGTTAAAAGGGAGAAGACATTCCGCTTAAAATATTAGACACGAATATGAAGAGATAATTTATTGAAGATAAAATAAAGACAGTGATTACAGATAATGCCTCGGATATGACCAAAGCTTTTGACTTTTCTCTACATGGTTACCACCAAGACAAGCCCGAAGACGATGAAATGGAAGATACTATTGAAGATTCCCACGATTCCTGTGACCTGTTTGATTGCTTTCCCACAACAGATGCTACGCCCATAGTTTACAGTTGGTAGTCAAGAGTGGTTTAAAAGAAGCTAGTAACCAACTGAAATCAATATTAGCCAAAGCGTCGCGCAATAGTGAAGTTTGTGAGGTGCTGTCTCCATGCTACTGATATCTTAGTTATCACCCGTTCCTTACTTGAAATTCCTGAATATAAACAGAGAGAGAATGGGGTTTAACCTGCACTCGACACAAAATTGATCATTTAGGGGTCTTTAGCAGTGGGAGGAAACCGGAGGACCCGAGGAGAACCCACGGGGATGGACAGGCGGCCCTGCTCCTCATCACGTACAGCCGGCGAATCGAAACCACGCCAGTTGACTCAATGGTAGACCTTATGAATCTAAACTGAATACACCAGAAACTCAACAACTCTCAAGCTATGAAAGAAAGCTGTTACAGAAAAGAAACTATAACACGTAGTTAAAGTTAACATATTTGAAATATGAACCTGGG